ACAGAGAGCTATGAATCATAATACAATTTAATTCTATACATTATCGTTATAATTACACATGAAAACGAAAGAGAAAAAGAGAGAAGTGCGAAAAGATGAGAAGTAGGTATCGTCAAAGCGTCGCTTCAAATGCGGAGTCTTTCGTTTATACAATACAAAATCCAAGTTTTGTATTGTGGTATAAAAAGTTTTGTTTCAACTGACAGTCATTGTGTTCAGTGAATTGTTATTTTAATAAAGATACTGTGATTTATTTGTGAAACTGTTAAGTCTGTCTTTCAATTCGGAGATAACCTTCCTATAAGGTATCATTGTTAATAGCAAAAAGTGCCAAGCCGCATACAATTGGAGAATAACTCATCCTCCCAGCTGTCAAAGAGATAGTTGATACTATGTTGGGACCCAGTCAGACCAGCCAAGTAACAGATGCAGTTCCTCTCAGCAATTATACTGTCTCTAGAAGGATTGATGAAATGGGAGCGAATGTCGAAGATGTTCTCTGCAACAAATCGAAAAGCAGAGAGTTTACTGTGCAATTTAACGAGAGTACCCTGAATGACTACACAGCTTTGCTGCTGTCATATGTCCGATTCATTCGTGTGTTCACTGCGTCATTCACAGAGAGCATTTGGCTGCCAAGAGTTTAAGTGGGAGGTTGCACGATTCTTCGACTTGTCATAGATGCGGTAAATAAAGTTAAAACAAAACCAAAGAATGATCGAATATTTCGTACACTCTGTGAAGAAAATGATGAGATATTTAATACATTGTTACTACATACGGAAGTCCGCTTGCTTTTTAAAGGCAATAATTTAAAGCAATTATTGCGTACGGCGGTTCTTCAGTCTCATGGATACTGTTATTGAATTTCTTAATACTACTGACCCCACACTGAGTACAGAACTACAAGAGAATCGAAATGACATCGCTTACTTATAAGATATTTTTCAAAAATTAAATGAAATGAACCTGCAACTACAGGGAAATAACATAAATATGGCCAAAGTGAAGGGAGTAGTTGGAGCATTCATTGACACCCTATCTATTTTTGAAGAAAATATGCAGAGAAGAAATCTGACCAAATTCCCCAACTTAAAATCTTCTTGTGGTGACTCTGAGGATCTTCAAATATACTGCCTCCACCTTCAAACACTGAAAGAAGATCTACAGTCCCGATTCCAAGATTTGACTAGTCTGAAAGTGCCAACTTGATTTATCAATCCTTTCTTCTTCAAGATATCCTTCTCTTCAGGAAAACTTGATTGATTTGAAACATGATGTTGAAATTGAAAGTTTGTTTCGGGAGTGTGGGTATGAAAGATTTTGGCCGCGGATAAAAGAAGTGTATCCAATCTTGTGGAATGCAATCAAATTATTATTATTAGTATTCCCCACAACATATCTAGTGGAGAAAGGTTATAGTTCTGTGGTTCTGTGTGTATATTGAAAAACAAACAAAGAAATAAGCTCGACATAATAGAAAGAGGGGATTTGAGGTTGTTATTAACCAACATTGAGCCAGACATAAAGAAATTATGTAAAGGACACCAGGCCCAAGGAAGCCATTAAAAGTTCTTTTACACACATATAATCATTTATTATTTTACGAAATGTAAAAATAAATAAATATAGGTATATATTAATGGGGTGGGAGGGGTGTCGATTGTAGTATTCATAACTGGTGAAACCTGTCTAAGAGGGCGATCATGGGAAAAAGGTTGGGAAGCACTGTTCTACATCATCCTTCTAGGCCTTCCTCTATACCTGGGCCATAGTGGTCTCCAGTTAGTTATTCGTTGGTACCAGTTGATTTATTTTCTTTGCTTCCTTATCGAATTTTTCAATTGCTCTTATAAGTGTCATCTTCGTCTTTGCTATGATGATTAGATCATTTGCATTGAAGTTGATCTGTAATAATGTTCTTGATCACGAAGTTTGTCCTTATTATTGGTTCTAATATCAGGTTAAACAGAGTAGTCGGGGTGGGATAGAGTCATCTTGTTTCACGGCTTTATTTTCTTTGGTCTCCTTAGAAGTTGTTCCGTTGAAAATTATCTTTGCTGTGGTGTTCTTTAGACTCACGGTTAGCTCATGTCTCAATTTTTCTGGGATTCCAAGATGCTCTAACTCTTCAATCATTTTCTTCCGATTAACTGCATCAAAAGCGCTCTTTAAATCTATGAATATTACGTGCATTTCTCTGTTGATGTTCTCGATTTTGTACTATTTAATAAATGATAATAACTTTTGCAATAATGGCCGTATGTAACATATAAAACTTGATGATAAGGCCATTACATGTCTATATAAAGTGTGCCAAATTTTAATCAGATCGGTTTATTACTTGGTGAGTTATTGTCAAACGTTATTAAATATTCATCCCAGATTTCAAAAAATTACTTGCCTGTACAAAGAAAAGTGAAAAAACACATTATTTTGCAAAAAATGTCTTTAAATAAACTTTTAAAAAAGTGATGTAAAGTGATGTTTTTTACCTTAGCTCCAACTTTAAATCTCTTGTGCAGAGCCCTGTTCTCTTTTGTTAAAATTTGCTCTATCCTTTTCTATTCTGATTTTCATTTTCTTGTAGGAATCATTTGTGGAATGAATAATTGTTGTAACACAAGTATATTCGTCCACTCCTTCGACATCAGTTCCGTTTATTCGAAAATTCTCGTTATTTCTTTGAGTTTTCGATATTTTCATACCTTTTTTCTTCTTGATGTTTATTGTTATACCGTATTCTTTCCCATACTCCTCTATTCTGGTCACCAGTCTCTGAAGATCTTCAATATATTCGACTAAGGTGGCAGTTCCATTCGCATATCTAATATTATTCATGTGAACTATATTTATCTTTATTCCAGCTGTTTCACCTTCGAGAGCTTTTTTCAGGATCTCTTCCTTCGTAGTCATTAAAAAGAATTGGCGAAAATACGCATTCCGGTCTCAACCTACGTCTAATTTCAATTTCCTCTGACAGCTGTTCGTTAACACGTACTTTTGCTCGTTGCTTGTAGTATCAATTCGATATGATACTGAGGTCATTGTAGTCTATCTTCTTGATTTCAGGACATTCATTATTTGTTCATTTTGCACCATATCTAATGCTTTATTATAGCCAATAAAAGATGCATTATCAAGATTGACGTCCAAGCACCGTTGTATCAGTATATTAAGTATATTTGTTTTTCATTAATGTCTAACAAAATCGCCTTGAGGCTTTCGAAATGTGGTGCTATAGAAGAATTTTAAGTTTCCTGGGTGGAGAAGATTCGTAACTCCACATTACTAGAACGTCTCAGCAAGACTACTGAGATCATAAAAAGCATCAAGCAGAGAAAGCTGGAATATTTCTGACATGTAATGAGAGGTCCCAAATATAGATTGCTACAAAATATCATGCAAGGAAAAATAGCAGGCAAACGCAGTCCAGGACGAAGAAGAACCTCATGGTTGAAGAACTTGCGAGATTGGTATGGTGTAGATACAAGCATGCTATTTAGGGTGGCAGTGAATAAAATTAAAATAGCTATGATGGTAACCAACGTTCTGAAAGGACATGGTACATGAAGAAGAAGATTAATGTCTATGTCCAGTTTACGATATATTCAGTTACGGATGACTTTTAGTAGTAACTTTAGCACATTGGATATAAAGCTAATGGTGCGGTAATCGCGAATTCTCTTGCATTTTTATTTTTGAGGAGACAAATAAAGATCGACGTTAAGCAGTCTAGTGTTTAAACTATTGACATCTGGGATAAATATTTAACAACCTTAAACAATAACTCACAAACCGATGCGTTTATTTTTATAGACACATAATAGCCTTATTATTAAGGTATTATATGTAACTTATGTTTCCTAGATGGGGTATAATTGGGGTATTTTCACGGAAATCAAAAAGAAAGAAAAAAAAACTAAAACTAAAAAATACTTCTTTCGGAAATAAATTGAAGAAACTGACAAAATAAAAATGGTATCAAAACAAAATACTCACTTCACTATTACCACAAAAATCTACTCGTAAACTTTGTCTACAATGCTTGCATAACTACAAATAATAGTAAGTTCTTTACTTAAATATTAATAAAAGTGCTTTTATAACGTACTTTAAGCTTTCCCTTTAACTGAAATAAATAAGATTGTAATTCTTCTATTCTATATTTTAGAGCAATAACTTCTTTATCCTAAAAAAATTAGAATGTTAAATCAATATGTACGTGATTTTATTATTTAAGGAACGGATCTGATGATAAATTGTTATTATTTATAAAACAACTCTTGTCCAATAAGTATATCCATTAAAGGATTCTACCCAATAAAAATCAAAAAAGAAATAGATTTGTGTAACAACTATAAAGTTTCAAGATTCGGCCTCATCACCGCACAAGTCCTCAAAAAACTCCCTAGAAAATCAGTTATTTTTATAACCATGATATATAGCAGTATTTTGGGGCTAATCCATTATCTGGAAGTTTGCTCAAATTATCTGTCTATCTCAAATATGTATCTGATCACTTTTGGTCAAAATATTTGAAAAACTATTTTTAAAACACTTAAAAACGAAATTAACTTCTGAGACATAATACCTCAACATCAATTTGGTTCTAAACACGAGCATTCTACTATACAGCAGTGTCATAGAATCGTAAACGAAATTATAGTCTAAAAAAATGCACTGCAAATGCATTTTTGGACGCAGAAAAAGCATTTGATCGTGTACGGCATCATGGAATACCATATAGGTTAAATAACTCTGTTCCATTTAAAACTAAAGGACAAGAAGAACAACAGTGGACAGAAAACTTGTAGATGGAAAAGACAAATCATTCACTGGAAACGATAAAATTTCACACGGAAGACATTAGACAATATGTAAAAACAAGATTGACAAGCATAACCCCGGAAAGGGAGAAATGGAAACGGGAGGAGGAGTTCTGTGTCTAGTACTGGACGAATAAAGGGCTTTATATAGATACATAATTTCTTTCTTACCTTGGTTTTAGTTGTAGGCTCGTATTGGCATTCCAACTCCTTGATCGCTCTGTTCAAAGTAAAAATCTCAGTGTCTTTTTCCTGCAAGTCATTATTGATCAACCTTACCAAAAATTTTTAATACATACAAAATTAACAAACAAAATTTAGTTACCTTTAGTTTTTCATTAGCTTCACATAGACAACTATCTAGTCTTTGTATTTCTTCATTTAGGGTGGTCATTTGAAAACATTTTTCCTGAAAAGACAGAAATAATATTCATATAAATGTAGTGTATTGTTTTATGTATTTTATTATTATTTTTTATTTTATTTTTACACTGCTTGTATTTTGAGAACGATTTCCGAAGTGGAAATTGAAACGTCAATAAACGTATTTTTATCTTTAATTGTGGCTTATTTCCAGTTAAATAGTAATTAGTGTATGAGAGTCAAAAAGCTTGAAAAAAAAACGTAAAGATATTTTTATCTGGATTTAAAAAATAGTTTTAAATTATCCGTCCGGCCTTTTAGTTCGATGCTTCTGAGTATTTGCTATTACCCCAGTACATATTACCAATCTATAACTAGGTGAGTTGGATGATGGGGATATCACCTCGGAGTCCCCGATGCCTGGTTTTCTGTAAGAGTTTTCCATATTGTCGATATGTTACTATTATTTCATAGGAACCGGAAAGTCGCCAGAGTTAACTAGTAGCAAAGCGATAACTCTAAGCTAGCAAAATGAGATTTTACTGAAAACTGGAAGTGAACTAGGTAAACATATCAAAATATCATCATTCATTCCGGATCCTGATTGTAGAAATATTGCAATTGCCAGATCGGATAACATAATCACTAATAACTCGTTTAAACGTAGAAGTTCCCCTACTCTCCTCCAAAGTCTCTTTGAAGAAACTAAACGTTTCCTCAAATCCCACCCTGAGTTAGTAGTGACTAAATCTGACAAAGGTAATGTTACCGTAGTAATATTGAAAGATGACTACTTTAAACTTTCTCAAGAGATTCTTGATCAGGATTCATCCTACATAATGCTTCCTAGTGATCCAACTAGCAATATTAAAAATAAATGCCCTATAAATAAATCTAATGCCCTAATAAAACGCCTTTGGCAAAAGAAACAAATTGATTTAAATACACAAAAAAGACTCCCATCATACATACTGAAGCTTATGATTCGAATACTGATTACTACATCAGAGATTCTTTCCAAGTTGTCGAGTTGTTTAACAGAACTGTCTTACCACAAAATTATGTTCTCGTCACTCTAGATGTGGCCTCCCCCTTCAGTAATGTTTACTTAAATGCCGTTCTCCGATCTATTCATAAACACTGGGATAAAATTTCTGCAGTATGTAGCGTTGATTTGTTGAGATGATAGAGTTCTTGTTTAACTCCACTTGTTTTTCTTTTAAAAACAAATATTATAAACAAATTTTTGGCACTCCCATGGGAGTAATATTGTGTAGAAAGTGTAGAACGAAGTCATTGCCGAAACAGGAAATAAATGACCAAATCCTGGAATCCAGAATACAAAGGTTTTAGAATATGTCATGTCTTCTTTGTTCGATTGGCCTCTATTTAGCACTATTTTCCAGTTCGTTACTTATGATCATCACTCGGTATCTATTATCTATTAATCTATTATCTATTAATACCAAGAATCTATATAGATAAATGAGTTACTGGGGTAGAAGGCATAGATAGCTTCTCCTTCTCAAATTTCAACCTAACATGCACTCGGAATCACTTGTCAGATAGGTATTAGACGAGGCTCTGATGACGAAGGAGTTTGGCGAGATAACTGTACTTCCACTTAGGGAGACGGAACTAAAAATGTCTGATCCTCAAGGTAAGGTGATGGGCATTGGGCTAATAACACTACCTTTTTCATAAATAAAACACAAATGCCCCAAAAGGATAGTTTTATACAGATATGATGACGCGGTGAGAAACTGTATCACGAAACTCTAATTTTGGAAAGGTAAAATATAAAAAATTACGCAATTTAAAATACCAGATAAAACGGCAAAAAATGTTACATTTAAACAAATAAAATGTTATAGAGGTGACTATAAGAGACACTAAGAAACGGATTTTCACTTTTAAAACACATAGTACGTACCTGATCCTCTTTCTCTCGGACGGTTTTACTTTCTTGTAGAGTATTTCGAAGTTCTTCAATGGTGTTGTTTAACTTTTCAACTTCTTCATGAGTTACCTACAAAAAAAATTCAATTCAACGAGACTTATATAAGCTATCATCTTCAGAAGCCAACATTATCGATCAAAATTATTCACAGCGTGGAAAACCAATTCTTCCTGGAATTGACGGGGGAAAGGATCTCCTACAAACCACTAGCAACTTGTCTGGGAGTCCTGTTTACCAAAATTCTGGGATGCTTGAAGGTGATTTACAGTAAAAAAAGCACGCCTTCTAGGTTTACTTACACTTACACTTTTACTTTTATAAAACCTACATTCTGTGGAGAGTAAGTGGTATTTTTGTGGTAATGATGCGAAGTACAAAAGTATTATACAAAAATAATTATTACCTTCCATTAATGAAATTTTACTGTCAGATGAGGACTTGTATTTGGCCTTCGAGCAGTCCTGATCTATCCCTTTTCGAGACACTTTGTTATTTAAAGAGTAAAGTTAAAAAAATTTGGAATAAATTCGTTTAGTTTATTGAAAGCATCCAATGGAAATCCCCTTCGTGTTTCTTAATAAAATAAACTAAAATATCAAAACGATAGCTCCGTGTATAGACGATAAGAAAGCTATGCTTCCTCTCTCGGTTCCGTTTTTTTTTTATAATCACTATGGTTGATAAAAGTATAAGACATTGTTGATTAATTGGCGAAATTTATAATAGTCAAATAAATTATAAGTCAGAAAATAAAGTTGTGTTACTTATTGGTGTTGGTCCAATTCATATGCGTCTAAGCTCGACAAAGTTCTCAGTATGAAACAAATTATCAATAAAAAAAAATAAAGCAAACCATGGAACGAAGAAGTTTTTCGTATTATTTATTATATTTTTGGGAAGATTTTTGTGAGAAAAGGGGAAGAAGGAAGTGAATGTATAAGTGTAAGATTCTTACCTTACACAGAAAACATTTGGTATCGTTTCCTAACTGTTTAACTCCACCATCCAAAAACGTCTAAAATATTGTCATTTTTAATAAAACTGTACGTGCTTATGATTTATTCGATTTTCTACCTTTTCCCTGATATATTTGTCTAATTCGATTTTGAGTTCATTGCTTTCATCTTGCAACTTTTTATTTTCCAATTCCATTCTACGGCATTCTTCAGATATACACAACTCTTGTTGAACTGCAGTTTTATATTTCTCTTTCATACGATCCTTCTCTATTAACTAATAAACAGAAAATATTTTGAGGTTATAATCAACGCTTCCACGAAGTACATACACTAGGTAACCAGTGTCTATAATTTGATCATAAATTAGGCCAAAACGATACTAAATACAGACACATTTACATCGTTAATGTGTTAAAATAAGAAATATGATCTAAAAACTATTTTCGTTGATTTCAACAGCATATAACTAGGTGTATAGAAGTCAGCTGTCTACAGAGACGTAAGAAAAATTTAACTATCGTAAAACTAAACAAATTGGTAAAAATTAACCAATATGCAAAACTGTAAAAATTTAAAAGGAATTAATGGATAATAATGGATAAAGTAATAGAATGAAGGTGGCTACTAAATACGCGATACTCGACAAGTAGTTAACAAAAATCCAGTCCTGTATAAGAAGATGACATAAAACTCGACATTTTATTTGTACTTGCTGTCGGCGGTCTGTAAATTACGCCAAGTCAAAGGCGTAACATTAGAAAATAATGACAAAATTACACCACACAAGTAATATAACTATTCTCCAGAGGCTAAGAAAAGACAAAGAAATTATCAACACTGTAAAGAAAAGAAAATTGGCTTACTTCGGCCACATCATACGTAGTATTAAATACCGACATTTACAGTTGATTCTACAAGGCAAGATTGAGGGTGAGAGGCCCTGGACGTAGGCGAATGTCCTGGCTGGCCAATCTTAGAAAGTGGACTGGTCTAACGTCAACTGATCTATTTCGAGCTCCTCTGGATAGAATAAGACGAATCAATGTGGTTGCCAACATCTCTAGAAGATTTAGAAGAAGAAAACTTAATTATGTCCTGTGACCAATACACGTACCTTGGAATGGATCTCCACTCGACAGGAAAAGTTGATAAAGAAACAAAAACAACGCAAGTTAGAAGAACGATAGACTGTTTGAATGACGGAGTCAAGAAATAGGGAATAGAAAGAAATATATCATATATGAACCTCTAATTAAATGTAGTCTGTTATACAGAGCAGGAACTTCGCCACAGGAGCATTAATTCGCAACTGTGAGATAAGACGACGATAAAAGCAACTGATATGGTACCGAAATGTCCAGGGGATGGAAAATACAAGACTCCCGAAAAATATTATGGAATGGCTTCCCTCAAACCGTAAACGACCAAAAATCCCAGAGAGAAGGAATAATTAAGACAATCAGCGGAAGAGACCTTAGAGAGGGCCAATGGAATGATTGAATGGTATGTAAATTAAGCATCGGACAACGTCGCAAGATACTTTAAAAACCAATTAAGTAAGAACGGCCTAACAGCTTAAACGAGCGCGATGGCGCTAAAAGACTACCGGCAACATGGCGATCGCTGCTTTAGCGACCCCCGCCCCAACCCATCCCACTCAGACCGTTTCCGCGCATACTGAGAGTATAAAAGCAGCAGCACAGAGTAAGACAGGTCGTCACTCGACATGGAGTAGTAGGCAGATTGAGACTTCACTGCCGTTTGACGCATTTCTACAAAACAAGATACTGGTACCTCACGGGTGAGAGGAGTAGGCAGGTTGAGACCCGAACTCGAACAGAACTGTAGCGATTATGGTGACAAACTTTCCTCTTTTGCTGTTCTGATAATTTTTTAAGGTTCATCCATGTCCAACTTTTAGACAAAAGATAAGGAAATAAAGGCTTGGAATAGATTACCAATCATAAAAAAAAGAGAAAATATCGCACCATATTGCCTCAAAATAGTTTGGTATATCTTACTCTATAGTTGAAAAGAATTTCACATATAAATCTTTAAAAAAACTTGAAAATTCTGTAAAATTTTCCTTACAAATTATTATCATAAGGTGTAAAAATACATACGAAA